TGAGATAAAATTAGCAGAGAACGGCAAGGGGGGTTGGGTTGATGCAGTATGTGATATGCAAATATTAGGTCCCATCGAAGTCGGCGGTATTGGGTTGAGTAGAGTCCCAATATGTGCAGATTTTTGGAATATGTCTTGTTATATAGACCTTTTACCAATTTCGTTGCCAGCCTTTGCGGACGTTCTAGAGTCTTTCTGTAGCAGCTTAACGATGGATTCCATACGTGAACGGCCTACTCCGTGTGTGGCCAAACGAACGCTGATAACAACCATGAGAACAGTGCTCTTTTGAACTGCCGGAAAACACGTCTGTGTAGTCCAACTTGCTTTCGAGCCATTGATGATGCTCTAGCACAGTACGTGGAACATTCCAAGTCCACCTGTACTATCACTCCCAAATCCCTTTCATTAGTGGCATGCGGTAGTGTTTCTTCTTTCTTTTTTTTCATTTCATTTTCATTCCTTTTAGTGAATATACAAAGATACAACAATTTTCAGGAAGGGGGAAGCGGCCAATCAGAGGGCTGCCATTCAACACACAAAGGGGAATTTCAGGTGGTTGTGGTGGCGTTCGAACACATCCCCGGGGTGATAATTTGGTGACGTTACCACCGGGCCACCACCACCCGGGACGTAGAAGAAACGAGTCTTATGCCGCATGGAAATAACTCTGCATTTGGAAACGTTGAACTCGATGTCGTCGGAGATTGACCATCGGTGGGCTGCGTCGATCGTTTGTTGGAGTGCCATATGAGCCTCAGGGTGTGTTACCGTTCTCCAGATCTTCGCGTTGTCCGCAAATAGCACTGTATTTGACCCAAAGACATGTGGCAGGTCGTTTATAAATGAAAGAGACGAGGCCCCGGTACGGATCCTTGAGGAACCCCTCGGGTAGCAGTGATGAGCTCTGATAATGAATCAATAATACAAACTGACATGGTCCTTTGTCGGAGAAACTCCTTGATCCAGTCAAGAAACAAATAGTAGTGCAGTAGTGCAAGAAGTAGGTTTGTGGTGCACGAACGCCTGTGCCAAAATCCGTGTTGGGTTGGAGATAACAGGTTATGCTTCTCCAGATATTTCATCAACAGTTCTGCCACAATAGCCTACATGACTTTCGACAACATTGGAAGAAGTATAACAGGGCTGGATCACTGCGAGATCCTCCTTTGTAAATGGGAGAAATCACCCCTTCCGTCCATGACTACGGAATTACTGCTTGGTGGAAAATCCTTTGGTAAAGAACGGCCAGAGGTTCACAAATGTTATTGGCTAGTGAAATCAGAGTCTGGGGATGCATGTTGTCGGCGCCTGGGGATGAATTCTTACGCAAAGTTAGTAGCTTTGCTTTAACTTTCTCACTGTCAAAAGCCATGTTATTCAGTGATGGTTACGGTATACATTGTATTTTCCTTGGAATCTGTAGTACTTCGTGTGTCGTCGCTGTAAACACCTGAGCGAACTGTTCTTTTAGAAGAACTCTGCTGCTTCTAGGGTAGTGGTTGAAACATGTCCAGATGATCGCAATGCTGGTATTCCGCATTTCACCCTCCTTGTAGAATTGATATGTTTCTAAAGCATTTTTGGATCAGAAATGAATGTCTGAGCCAGCGTTTCTTACTACATCGATTTGTCCTGTCGTACCAACTTGGTACACTGATTTCGCAGTANCAGTTACGAATAATTATTCCAAGTGTCGATAGATGGACATCTTCTGTACTCCCGCCAAGAAAAGTTCTTTTGCTCTATCCATTTCCTTGTTAGGCTGTGAATGAATGAATGATAAGTTTGAGATGTAGTAAAAGTTTTATACTTGTTGCAGTCGTTACAATTTCGGTAAGATAATCAGTGAAGCTCTTCCATGTCACCAAAGGATCAGGATAATCTTATGCTTCAGTATTGCCGGGTTTTGCAGCGTTTTATAGTCTATGACGGCACGAGTATTGCTCTTTCGGTTTCTTGGGTAGAGGCGTAGCCTATATAATCAAACATCAATACGGCATGATCACTACGTCTTAGTGGAGATGTGATATTGACAGATTCCACCATCAGCTCCTCGATAGTCAGTACTAAATCCAGTGTTGATGGTTCGTGACCCGCTCCAAATCTAGTGAATTCGGTTACGTGGTTGTACAGTGGGTGCAATCCAATTAACTGAGATAATTGTCTTTTGAATGGCTAGCGGGAAGTCCGCGTTTCTATGAGATTGGGGAAGTTAACGTCACCCATTATGAAGGCATGGGTGAACTTTAGTTATAACGTATTCTTCATCGTTTGCAACAAAATCTCGTTGGCTGATTAATCGTATATGGGACACTGAGTGATATGCAAAGTATGTAGATTCCATCATCATTTCTGAGTTGGATTCCACATTATTTTTTAACCAATCGACCGCAAAAATGTAGTCACTAATCTCGGCGTAGTTCGACGTTGTTTTACACAAGATTTATCAGAACGGATGGATGAATCGTCCATAAAATTTGTGAAAAGCTTACATTTCACCATCGTGGTTGAAAAATCGATCCCATCCAGATGAACCGACATTACGTGTGACCCATAGAAGCGTAATCAGCAGGAACAGGGCGCAACACAGGCCTTCAGCGTACCTGTATACGGGATCAACGAAAAACATCCAATCATTTATGTCATAAAATAACACGACAGAAGTTTTGAAACAAGTATATTCAAAACAATGTTGAGTCTACCTGACTGCTGTCACCACGGATGATGTGAGAAAGTAAAATTATCAGTCAAAATCATGTGTTGCTTCGTCGATAGGATCAGTTTCTCATTCGTGAACTGTACTGCAAGCAAAACAAGCTGGTATCAGTGGTGATTTCGAGGATAGTGTGGCTGAATGAAAGCGAACCAGAACCGGTCTATCGACACTTGAAAATGGGATCATATTGAAGACGAACAAGCGCAAGAGCTAATTAACCTTTATTTCATAATCTATTGTTTACAACAATGTAAATGTGCATAACTATATATATATATATATATTGCAGCTGGACTGCTTCTGATTTACTTAGTTCGCTGACTCATTCGGGAAATTAAGGCAGTTTGGAGTAGTTGCTAAATAGACAAAATCACACATCTGCATGACGCCTATGTTGTTGGACATTTTAATGCTATTGAATGGCACGATCGCGAATAACTGGAAACGAGTTTGTTCACCGCGCTGTTGTTTTTCGCAACACATTGTATAGAACTATGCATTCAAGACTCTCAATTTAAATAGTTCTTAATAAGCGCATCTGTCCAAGGAGACCAGGGTAAATATATAGATTTCATCTTTACATTTCTAAACACAAGAGCTAAATAAGTAGCCTACTGCCGGCATATCAATATCGGGCAGAAAGATCAAACATACCAATTGCTATCTAGCCACAGTTACCATATTCTACTTTGCTATCGCTTGTCTAACGAGCGTATTCAAACAAAACCTTTCTCTACTCCTCAAGTTGATGTTCTTAAAAATTGTTTAAATAATTCTAAAGATCAAGCATGAACCAATAACCTCTCTATGATGCCTAGGTAAAATTGTGATCAATCAAAGTATGTCGCACGTCATTTTACTTTGAAAGTCATGCCCATTTTATTCGAATGAATCATTGTAAAACTATAGAAGCAACAGCACATCGAAAATCAAATGACCACATGCAAGGCAACTAAAACATTTGACTTGGTTGATGTTTTTAGCGGTATGTATATATACAAATACATATATTATAACGAGAATCCCAATAAGACGTCCCTATGTGTGTGTACATTTGTATATTATGTATACATATTGTAGTTCACTCCATTATACCATGCCACTTCAGATGCAAAACGATAATGTTACATTATTCGAACTCAAAATATCTTGGTTTCCCTAACCTGAAAACATACAATGATAAATTCTGGAAAAATTCAATCGGTTATCTAGTTCGTATACACGTTCTTCACCATTCGTCTGACAGCATGCAGCAGCAGTAATAATTGATTCCACAAGTAATGGATGATGAATAGGCTTTACAACTCACTTGAACTTTCCAAGTGTCCTTAGTTCTTTCGCTACAACCTCCTTCACCATTGCATCGCGTTTTGATCCACGGCTTCTACTACAAAAACTCCTGAGAGAAAAAGAACACAAAATTATAGCAACGTTCATGCGAACCCATATCAATTGCGGTTGAGCACGTCTGTGGATCTCAGTTAAACCCGTTGTCACCTGAAATCAATCGAATAATTTCAGGAAAGTTGGTCACTGTTTTTGTACAGTATCATACCGACCAATGGGTTTGCTTTCATGTTGTGATCTCCATATGGGTTCAAAGCTTGATTATCTGTGATTTACAGCACTACTGCTTATCATGCTCCACTGGATTTGCAGAAGATTTTGAACTTTTAACAATCTCAAAATAAAAACTCAATCTTCCGAACGACCATCTGCACAAGTAACCTTGCGTTAGATGTTCGGTGGGTGGACTCCGTTGAATTCTTAGTAAAAGCTGTCGGAGCAGTCAGATTACATGCTAATTGTTTGATGCTATGTTGGTCGGTAATTTCGATGGCTAACTTGAATATGAAAATATCAGTGCTATCAGTGTGGCCTCGTTGCTCAGCTGGTGGAGCGTGCGCTGTACAAAAGCGTAGATGGCGTCCACGCGTGGGTTCGAATTCCACCGAGGCCACTGACCTTTTCACAATCGCAACATGAAAAGTTATTTATCGGTGGCGTTATCGGTAACCAGTACGAAAGCCGAACAGTGGGTATAAACAGCCTAGGTAAGGTCATATATGTCCAGTTTAGGTTAAAAGGTCAATGAAAGGGTCACACTGAGGGCAGGTGATTTTTAAACTACAATCCGATTTAGGTTTTTTCTAAATAATTGATTTGAAATAGAACAAGGAGTGGCGAACAAGCTCGTTTTCAGCGATTCGTATTCATGTCAAATAATAAATAAATGTCATGCTGTTCATATTGTGATGTATTGAGCATGAGTACGAATCACTGAAAACGAGCTTGTTCACCACTGCTTGTTATATTTGAAAGGTGCTCTGTGGGACGATTTAGACACAATGCTTCTTGCGTTGCATTTTGTAAGGAACAGACAAATAAAGCTTTTTTCTTTAGCTTCTGTCACCGCTGTTGCTTGAGCTCCTTCAGACTGGTAAATGGTGGATATCTTAAACATTTCAGTTTTTCCTGCAGATTCTCCGTAGAATATATATATATGTATATGTATATATATATATATATATATATATGATGAGAATCTTCATCTTCGAACTGCTCAAAACTCCAGGTGAGACACTGCTGAAATAATCCATGGAAAATAGTTGACGATAATGTACACACGATAACAAAATTTATCCTTATAGAGCGTGTTATTTCGTCTCTCACTCTCTGTTGATGAACGTATCACTCTAAATTCTGCATTTAAACAAAAAACAAAATAATTCCAGGCGTTCTTACCGTATTCCAAAAAATAATAGGCTCAACCAGACCCACACGATCAGCAACATAACTAAGGAGATGGGCATTGCGTAGGCCATCCAGCTACCAAAGGAAAGTCCAGTTTCTCCTCCATACAGGCTGCGAATAAGCATGGAATGAGGCAATGGGGAATAGACATAAGAAACATTGGTCAATTGTTAGTTTATACATGTTCGAAGGTTGTTGTTTACGAACTTTGATTCACACCTGGTATTCCTAATTCAGACCAACTCAACCGCTCTCGTTATTCAATGGTTGTTTAAAACCTTCATATATGTCATCGGATATCCGGAGCTACACAAACAATGGACAATTTGAGGCGGAGGCAACAAGAATTGATCATATGAACCCATAGATATAGTTCACATAATGTCATACGTCAAAAAATCCTAACGGTGATGACTGCATTCTGCTTAGTGTTGCGGTTCCATTAGTTTCACCTACGACGGTTGTCTGCTTATTTTAATTGTATGATTCAAATCGTGGAAACGATGGATTATGATTTCAAATTTCGGATTTTTCGGTGATTATGTGTTTCTGATGTGATTTAACAAGACGAATCCTCTCTTGAAGGATCACCCAAAGATCTGAACTGCGGGTTGCGCTTATGAATGGGGTTCATTTAAAATAAGTGCACAGCTGAGCGAGGGCTTATGAACATAACAGACTCAGGGAAGAAGATCGACGCATAAATGATCTGACCTAAGTTTGGTCCGAGTATACACTTCGGTTGATGACGTGAACTTATTCCTGACCGACAGACGAAAACCGCTTTAAATATAATCATAGCTTCACAGTATTACAATGAATAAAGTTTTAAGGTATGGTTAACAGTCAGAACAATTGATAATGACAACATATGGTGACCTCTTCTAACAAAGGACCACATGCATACAGTGATTTCAACAGAATTCTGTCTACTGAAATCAAATACCGAATTATTAGAGTGAGACTCACCCGTTCACCAAGCCAAACAAAATTGAATTCGGCGCAGTCCCTGTAATGGTTGCAATACCTCCGCACGTGGATGAATAACAGATACTCAAACTGAGTCCGATGCAAAGATTATTCATTCCTATTGTTCGATGCACTGATTCACTGTTCTGTTTGTTGTGGTTTGTGACTTTTATCTTGACGTTTCCATTGGCCGATGCTTCGTGACGATCTGGATGTTGTTCCGCCGAAGTGAAGTCCGGATTAGCCTCAGATGCAGTTTTGATGGTTTTCTCTAACGTTTGTGGTAGTTGGAGTGTCCTATGACGGTTTCAAAGGGTATGATTGTCAATGTTTTCTACCATAAAAGGTGTGACCACATTCATTTCAGTATTGACTATATGGGAAATTTTCCTGAAGTGAAGTTGGCTAAAGCCATTTCGATATGCTATATGTACATTTGACTGGATCAACGAATCACTCTAAACATTAACCCTTATGATAAGCCGCTTCAATGTTCGCTGTTGTATTTTCTATTCGGAGGAGGAAAGGGCCAATACAGATTCCCAGAAGAAATGATTTTGCACCTTTAATTTCATGTCTACCACACAGTTTTGTGATGCTAGTTCCTCCGTGTTATAAATCGCGTAGATTGTTTCGTACAGTGATGCCTGAATGATTGCTTTCACGAACATCATGGACACTGTCGTATCTCAATGCAATCCCACTCGGCAAGACACTCATTCCTCGGATATGGATCATTGATTATTCATTTAGTCCCCTGAGACTGCTATTATAGTCGATCGGGGTTGTAAGCGGGTAATTTCTTTGTATACCTTGAAATATGAATATCAGTAGTGATTCTTTGATATGGGTATCTTTTATTGGTGACCCATTCATGAGCGGTCTGCCTTATTCTTAAATGACTGAGTGAAGACAAGTCTATATTATCTCTATGAAAAACTTCATTTTTCTGCACACGACATTTATGAATAACTTGTTCGTGCATTGTGCAAGGGAAATGTTTGATCTCACCGACTATTGAAACAAGCAGTACACCTTTAATGCCTGTTGTACTTCCTTCATCAATTCATATCCGCGATTCAATGAATCACGTTTAATCCGACAGTGTTTTCATGATCAATTACAAAACAGTAAATTGGGTAGTTTTGAGAGACGGGGTTAATGCGGGTTGTGACAGTAAACTCACTGCGTTACATTCTCAGCGCCTGACTCTTCAGTTTGTTGTAGAGCTATGTATTTGAAACAGAAATAAATGCGTTTTTACTGTTTTCCGTTCATGTAATGGCACAAATTTTAAAAATATATAAACAGCTAAACCTTTAGTGAAACGAGACTAATGAGTCAGCATATAGCAATGACCTGTTCGTAGTTGTTCCGGAACCGGTATTCTAAGTAATTGAATAACAACAGCAAACCTTACTCATTTGGGCAACTGGCTATACCAAAGATATGTTCAAATTGATAAATTTTCTGATATCGATTTATACTAGCATGTATAGCCCTCAAAATCGAGGCCTTGAATAGCAAAATGTCCTGAATGTTTGATCGTATTTGTTTTTGTGGGAAATGTGCGTGAGAATGAAAATCTGTGATCACCTGGCCGTTTTAACGAACCTAATCAGGTTTAATAAATCACAACCGACCGAATAGGGCATACTGAAACCGCAACAACTGACATAAGGTACAGTAAAACTATGATAATGAACTTACTTTCTTCAATGGAAGCTAAGCTTTGTAGCACGGCTTCGACAATGGTGATCATCATGGCTGTGGTTGCCGTATTACTCATCCACATTGACAGAAACCAAGTGGGTATCATGAATCCAAGCATCAACCTGGGGTTGGGAAAATCGACACACGTGTATGTGGCATCAAGTTCCGTGAGTGTTTAAGTCGGACACGGAACCACATTCTTTTCTCTCTATTTAAAAGTTCATATGGCAAAAATGTTTTCTCACCATGTTTGACAAAACTCTTATTGCATTGTGTTGATACCATTTATAAACTTGTTAGATGGAGAAATAGTTGTCTTGGTTAACTGTCCCGTTGTAGTGTGGCCAAGGGTGTCAGCCGAACGGTTCTCATGATGGCTTGTATGAGAGCTTGTACTTCAAATAAAGGTTAACTGGCGAATGCTCCTCAAAATAAACCGGTTTCTTTCTGTCCAGTAAAAAAAGGATCGACACACAGGTACCCAATATTTATAGCACTTATGTCGCGTTGCATGAATTGGAATATTACAATACAGGTGAAATCCGATGTGTGTGATTGATTCCACGTGACCTTTTGCAGTATTGACCAGTTCCATTTTGCGGTGAATTATTATTCGACACACACGGAACGGACGAACATGCATTCATATTGATATCCGCTAACAATGCGGTAGAGTTTTGCATTTTCAGTCAATATAAACTTCTGTGATAAATCTAGTGAATTGAAGAATGAACCTCGGGAAGCATACATTGCGTCCTCTAGGAGTAACCACGTCACCGTTTTAAACAGGGATCTATTCCTTGATCTAGATACAATATCTGATAGTATTTCCAGTTCCAAGTTGTGAATGTCAGAATAGTGAAACTTACACTGTGGTTTTGATTTTATTCTCGGTGCATTTGTTCGCGTATTTGCTCCTTTCCCTTTCAATCCGGTTGCTTATAGAGTTATTTGGGACACTTCAGATAAGAACACGATAAACTCAACTCTCACTTCAGTGGTTTAATCAGAACATTACCTGCAACACAATCAAATGGCTTACATTTTCGGATCACTTCCAACAATTCGAAGCACTGAGATTGCGATTCGCTTGTGCAAACCTCGGTGTTCAATCGTCGTCGCCACAAAAAGTCCACCGACGAACAGCATATTCGTATCCTAACAAAATTGAATGAAATATAGCGGTAGATGTTTCGTCCGGTAGCAATCGATGGGGAAATCTTCATTCAAATAACAAGAAATTCCTCGCACGCTACCACCACTTTCAGTTGTCTATTTTACATGCTTTTTCTCTTTGGTGCTAGGCACTTTGTTATCTTTATACTTTAGCAACACAACGAGGATGGAATTGCATCCGTGTTTAATCAGCGTTACCGAACAATACATTTAGCTGAGGGGGGGGGGGTCGTTCCTTCTCGTTGTCGCAGTTTAACATGCTACTTAGCCTAAACCGCAACACCTGTTGTGTTAGCCATTCATAGCCTTCCGAAAATGTCTCATTGAACGCCACATTCAATGCAAAGGAAGTTATGAAATACAAGGGCAGTATCACACCAAGTTCATTCCAGTCTGAGATGATTCCCAATCTCATGAATTCACATTAAACAACTGAGGATTATTTTTTTGTATGAAATCCTAAGAGTTTCCTTTTAAATACTTTCAAATATAAAAGTTTGGAATTTTAGCGTAGAAATAATGAATTAATTTATTCACCTTTCAATGTTATCCCGATCGGTAATTTGGCATGTATGCTGCATTAAAAAAAATGAAGATGACTATTGTTTACATCAGAATTAGGAAATCGAGTAAACAGAATTGGCAGCTATTTAACCAGTCATCACTTCCAGTGGTGTGGTCTGCGCCAGAGTATGACTATATAATTTAGTTTTGTATACTGAATCTGGATTGTAGCTGTCACAAACTACTGAAAGTCCAGTTATTTTCTTTTCACTTGTGTAACCGGAAATTAGGGTTTGGAATCTACAAGGCAATTCATGTGATATACTCCTTAACGATTGCCTCTCAGATGCCGAAGTTGAAAATTGTTTCCAATCGGACGTTTCGTTAATAAAACTCTCAAGGCGAGTTGTTGCCTATGACATCGCATACGTAATCGATGAACCCAACAAAGATACTTCTGTTCCCAACATCATAACTCAGTCTTTGATAATGACCAACTGGGTTGATCAAATGTACAGTAACTAAGGCTTGTATTGCATCTTTTAGGCACCAGATACGCACCCGATAGTCAGTTTGGTGAAATCGGATCCGGCTAAATCTCACAAAACAGCCAAGCAGACTAAGTGGACGGGAAACAAAGGTACCTAATGACGGAACAATAATAGCCCGAGTGAATATAAACTATGTTGCGAAACAAGTCCTGAAGATATATCTTGAAATAATAATTTTTCCAGCTGCAACGAATTCCAGGTAAATAATAGAATCGCAACTCAGGCCAGATATCGTTTCCATGCGCAAATAAGCTCAAACACTGGCACTTAATGGCCAATTTATTCTCATGAAGAATTCCATTATAATCATGGAAACGATTGTATATCACAACTGTGCTAAACCCACTATCTGGAGGATTCATTATTCTTACCTTCATATAGGCCTGGCAAACCTGGGAGGATTTCATCAATCCAAGCATTGGACCAAGAACAATCGGTAGTAAAGCGGTAACATAGATTGGGATCACTTCGGTTAACCAATAGCCACCCATCAGCAATAGAACAAATGCACCTTTCGAGGCCTGTGGAGAGGGATACGTAANTTCTCATGAAGAATTCCATTATAATCATGGAAACGATTGTATATCACAACTGTGCTAAACCCACTATCTGGAGGATTCATTATTCTTACCTTCATATAGGCCTGGCAAACCTGAGAAGATTTCAGCAACCCCAGAACTGGACCAAGAACAATCGGTAGTAAAGCGGTAACATAGATTGGGATCACTTCGGTTAACCAATAGCCACCCATCAGCAATAGAACAAATGCACCTTTCGAGGCCTGTGGAGAGGGATACGTAACAAATTGTTCAAAATCAATGGTTAATTAATCAAATACTGCTTGGAAACATTCATATGGAGATGACGAATTAGCTCTTATCTATGTGTTTAGTAGACATGTGGAATGTCTATAAGAACAAACCGCGAATAGACAGGAGTTCCAAATGTCATTCTGGTCGGGAAAATGTAACACATGAAAATTAGGAGAGAATGAACAACATTGACATCATCCTTGCTTATCCATTCTCCCCTCTAAACCAACCGAAAATTATATTATGTAGACGAGTTGTCCCATAGCTGAATGGCAGTGAACCGTGCCGAAGGCTGATGAAAGTGTTCATAAATTATATTTTCCGACTGATCATATATTGAATACAATCAACAGTCAAAGAAATACTGTTTGAAAACATTTATCTGGGCATATTGAATAAGGTCTTGTCTGTGCGTTTAGTAGATTCTGGAACCTATCTAGATGAACTGACCACATATATTTACGTACTCCTCAATCCATGTCCACTAACTGGATGAGATAACGGTTCGTAAATACCTACTGAATTAGATTCCTGAACAAAGAACACAACATTACATTCGGGCACTATTTAATTCCGGAATCATCTCGCTGCATCTTAGCGGGTGTTTCCTGGAGTATACGAAACAGTTTACATATCAGAGGTGTTCATAATCTAACATGTTATCAGTTCACTGTTCCTCTTACATGGTTAGCAGGCAATACCAGACCGATGTAGACATACTTGGCCTACAAAGCAGGGGATTTCTGTGCTTGATTGCTAGGGCCTCCGTAGATCTCAGGAGCCATCCCTTTGGGAGTGTGTAAACAACCCGAAACGAATTTTCGCATTCGGCTTAATGGCCAGTCTGCAGCATATGGCGAGTAATTGTCATATGCTCATCCATTGTTTTCTAATGAATACACTTGATACTGTAAGAAACTTCCGATTAGATGAAACCGCTTTTGATTACGGCAATTAAAATTAAATTTAATCATATAAAATTATTTTGATTCCTTTGCAATTTGCTATCATTGGGCAACAATGAACCTAATTACGGTCATTTTGTATCCAATAAACGCATTTTACAAAACAGTAAAACATGAATGTTAATTCACAATATTTTATAAATTCCGGAATAAACAGAGCGTAACAAAGGAGCACAAGTCTGAAGCGAAACAATTGTTCAATTGTACAGATGTACACATCATATAAGAATTCGCTGTTTCTCCAAATACATGTTTACGCCCAGTTAAGTCAGTTGAAAAAATAAGCACACCACATCCATTACTTCTATAAATATCTTCTCATGCAGGTGCGTTTATACGACAAGGCA